CAGATGTGTGTGAAGGCAAATTTACAAGTTTATCTTCTTTCATGCTAGACTACAAGATCCAACATGACTTTGCACCACATAGTGTTCAACATAATGTCTTTTACATTGCAGAGCCTCATTATATACATGGACACTGAAATAGCAAAAATAAAAATTTACTCAACTACCTCTTTTTAGGCAATCTAGCAAGGAAAAACATTGATTTAGGTGGGATGATAAGAATTTGTAAGATAGAATAAATACCAAAAGAAAAAAAAAGTTTCTCAGCAGGAATATATTCTTTTACTTAATAAATCTCAAATGAGGTGATTTTAAAGTATAATAGTATATGGCTTTATATTTAATATTGAAGTAGATCTAAATCTAATGATAAAATAATCAAGACTTTGAAAGGATTTCAAATATATGCTATCCCATGGATTCTGTTCTTTTTAATCTCTCAAGGCCCAAATCTCCCATGGTTAGTACTGTGAGAAACATCAAGTTGAGAAGGATCAGGAGACCAGGAAATAGCCAACATGTAAGAGTGAGAGACTGAGATTTCACAACTGGGTCAGGGAATCCACTCATTATTTTCAAGGCTTAGGAATTCCCTGAGTTGAAACATTCTGTCAGCAGCCTATAAAATAGATTTATTAGTTTGACACTCTCTGATAGCAAAGATCGTCTTGACCATTTATGTTTCTCCCATGGGACCAAACACAATATCTAGTGTATATTATACAAGCATTTGGGATGCAGTCCAATAGCTTCTTTCTGTTCCAAATGCTTTTCTCACTTTCTGTATGTTTATCTCTCATAGGTCGTTGTTTCATGCCAAACTCTTCCTTAAAGCTCCCAATCTCTCTTTATAATCTTTACAGTCTGTGATCTTTACAGTCCATTATACATAACTGGAAAGATGATATTAGACATTTGATTAAAATATTTGTTGCGTATAATAGAAACACTATCTAAATGTTACTGTGTTCTAAGGAACTACACTAAATTTGTTATGTGTATGCTACACTTTAATCCTCACAATAATCCAGTAAGTACATGCTGTTATCACTCCTATATAACTGAGGCTTAGAAAGTTAAATAAATTGCCATGGTCTAAAAACTCTTAGCACCAAGGACGTAAATATTTCTAACTTCAAAGTCCACTCACTATATTATAGTTGACCAAAGTATAATCTTATGGACAGATTTGCCAATATTCACACATAATACAAGATACTTTGCCACTGGTTTATCACTATTAAATGCACTGACTAATCTATCAATAATCTTGCCATTTCATAAAAAAATGATATAAAAGAATGATAACATAAAGGTAATGATCACTTCTTAAGTTATATAAATACCTAATCACTATGCTGTACACCTGAAATATAATAGAGTAGGCCAACTGTAATTGGAAAATAGATAAATATATAAATACTTCAGAGAAAATAATAAATAAATAAAAGTAATGGTATTATCATCTACTTATTTACCCAATCTTGAAAAATCTGAGTTGACTATAACTCTTTTCATACCCTTTGACATTCCAAGTGTAACCTATTACTTTTGACTATATATCAGAAATGTGCTCTAACTCTGCTCCCAACCTCCATTATAATCCTCACTGCTATCCCAGTTTTCATCACTTACTTGTACTACTTTAATAACTCATACCTGGTCTACTCTTCTACTCAAGTCTACTGTACATATTGCTTTTGTATGTATTTTTCTCAATGGGAAATTTAGCTTGTTGATCTTAAAAATATCATTTATAATTTCCTTTACTATTAAAAAACCTTAAAACCCTTAGATATTCTAAGACTGTCTACCCAAATCTCTATGTTTATTTTCCCCTAGTATCTTTTACAGCACTATTAAAAAAAACTATTAGTGATATTGAAAACGCACAAACAAAAACAACAGACAAACCCTAAAACTATACTTTAAGTTGTACTTCTCCTTGGAAAAATGCAAAAAAAAAGATCACCTGAAGATGCTAGCATCATTTTTGTTCTGTAACCTGGATTTTAACTCTTGTAGCAATTATTTAATAAATGTTAAAACAGTATAGATAGTGCTTGAGTTCCACATGGCTAAGTTGGCTGTTATTATTAAAACTATAGAGTTATTAAATTATTTTCCAAATTAGTTAAGCTTGTTTTTAAAAGTCATTTGTAGAGAAAACAATTAAAAGCAATTAGTAGTATATTAAATACTTATTTTTAGATTTCTGTATGTTTAGTATAGAAGTTTAGGGGAGAAAAAGATGAATTGTGATCAATATTGCCTAGCCACATTAAGCAAATTATTAATTTTAAGCTTTCAATTTAGCACAACATGTAGCAGATGATCCATTCTCAAATTCTAAATGTTTCCATAGATAAAAGACAGTGTATTTTATAGTGTATCTTTATAAATGTTGAGATTTGATCCTCAGTGTAACTATTAGAAACCTGCAGGAAGCTATTGAAATTAATTTGTTTAATTATTATATGATATAACAAATTATTCTCATGTATTTATGTAAGTACCTTTTCAAATTGTTGGACATGATTTCATTTTAAGCTACAGCAATTTTTCTGAATATCAAGACATAAAAACTGAAGTTGCATATTGAAATGAAAGCTATTATATATTTTAACAATAATTAGTGCATAGTTAATATCAGGTTAAAAACAGAATTCCAATATGCATTTCATTATTTAATTTGTTGGTGTGTTTTCAAAGCTGTGTTCTAGTTGTAGGCTTGATAAGAAGAGGAAGATTGTGTTGATAGCAATAGGGAAGAGAAACTGATGGTCCTGGCATTTGTGCAGTCATGGTACATGGAGCAAGTACAACAGACACAATAACTCTACTACCAGGACAGCATCTGGACTGTAGCCTGGCTTGTATTCCACTCATACCTCATGGTAGAAGGAAATTAGAGTTGGAAAAGGTATCAGAGTTATATTTCTTCACTTTATAGATGAGAAAAGTGAGCCTCTGAGAAAATCAGGATTACAGGATTGGTTGGGGGTGTATCTCAGATATTCTCACTTTCACCTTTCATACATACTCCGAACTTCTGTATGAAACCATGTTGATCACCAAAATGTGACAAAGAGTCATTGCCTCTAAATACCAATGGAACCCCTACATGTCAAACATGAAGCTATTTATTTTACATAGAATTTAACTCTTTTAACAAATCAATAAGGCAGACACTCTCTTCTTTTTATAAGTAAACAAACTGATGCTAGGAGAGATTAAGTAACTTATCCAAGACCTGCTAATATGTGGCAGATGTGGAATTTGAACTCAATTCAGTTGAACTCCTAAGATCACATTTTCTGTTATACTTTCCAGATGCTTTCTTTAATGGGAAAGGTTGGTTTTGGTTCTGGAAGGACAATTATAGCTTACAATAAAAGGGTGTTTATATCATTGCTAATAATTATATCAGTGTCAATATCCTTGTTAAAGACATTTAAGATATTTTAGTAGGCAGCAACAGTACAAAATGTAGGTTCTGAATGCCCAGGTTACTTTTACTTTTTAAGGGATTAAAGCAACTTACTTGTCTGAATGTAATGGATATATATATGTGTATATATACATACACACAAAACTATATTACAAAATACCAAGTACAAAGATAAGGGAAGCCCAGGGAGCTATGAAAATGCAATTCAGCCTTTGGCCAAGGATCATCTGTTGACAGGAAATGTAAAGAGAAAATCCTACATTCACAGGACACTGAGAGACAACGGACACATATAGAGCAACAAATACACATGCCCTCATTCTTTATTTTCCTTTGGCTACCCTGAGGCTCTCCTGTTCTTTCTGTTCTGCAACTGGAGTTGCCTACCTAAGTAACTGTATATAGGACAAAGACTGAGCAAGCAGGGGAAAGGAAGAAACTCATTCTGTTGACCTCAAAAAAAGGCAAAACTAACTCTGACACCACTTTTCATTCAGCCTCCAGTGGGGGTGCACGTTGTGCAGAAAGGTGTTTGTTGATCAAAGTGCTCAATGAATGCCCTTCAAAAAAGCAACTATTTTCTCTGAGGACTTGCCTCCTAATATCATAAAGCCCATATAGCCCACCTTTGGAGGAGCTAGTAGGTTTGCACAAAGTTCAGGGATGAGTTCAGGAAAGGCTGTCCTCTGAGAGAGGCTAGTAAAAGTCATCATAGTTAATGAGTTGCCATTTCAGATGTGCCTTATTCTAGGACATTGTAATAGGCAGGACCTCCATCAGAGTCAGTCAAATCATTCTGATGTAATCAATTGGACTGTAACACCTTTGAGATGAAATTATAGTGTTGTTGTCATTGAAACCACAGGGAACCTTGTGAAAAGCTGCTACTACATATCCAATATTGTCCAAGGTGGCAATATTACAGTTTTAGAAAACTCATGTGTATTAGTAAGATATAGTCCTAGTGTGATAGAAAAGTCCATTTAGAGAACCCCAACATTTTGTTCTAATTCTCTATACCCAATTGAACTATGAACCTAAAACTTGCTTTATAAAATGGATTTTACCAGGACAGAGTAGTGGAAGCAACAGATAGTTTACTCTTTTACTCAGAAGAGCAAAATTCAATAGGTTTTTGTTATATTTCCCTCACAGATTATAACAGCACTAGTGACCAAATTTGAAAAAGTCCTTATTGTATTTAAATGCAATTTTTAAACCTCCCATTAATAAATTAAGGCCTTCATTAAATAAATTCTTTTATCAGAGCCTGATTATGTTCCAGGAAATTAGAAAATTAAATTCAAATATCTATAAAGTTAAAGACCACACACAGGACTGTTTTAAATTCCATGATTAATGAATCAGTCTCTCCATTTGAGACTCTGATTTGAATATCAGTAAATTATAACTTTCTAAGCATAGGTAATCTTGCATATTATATAAATATTATTGGTACAGAAGTATAGCTGACTGATATAGATGAGAAATTCACAGCTCACATCAGAATAAAGAATGACAGAGTTGAATAGAAAAGAAAATGTCTTACTTGGTTAAGAATGTCTTGTTTCTGTGCATGCAAGGAAAGAAAGAATACATGTATTAATGTAAGATAATTTATATTCATTATCTCATTAGCACTGATAATTTACCTGAAAGGTCAAGTTTACAGATTGATTTTAAAATATACTCTAACTCCATGGGTCTCAAAGTGTGGCTCCAAAGCAGTAGCATCAGAGTCAACTGGGAAACTGATAGAAATACAAATTTTGGAGCCCCACCACAGGGACACAGAAACTAAGGGAAGGGGTGAGGGAGCAAGCAAAAATCTGTGTTTTATAAGACCTCCAGGTGATTCTGATGCAAGCTAAAGTTTGAAAATCACTAACGGGATCAATCTTTGATGTAATAAGCAAACAGTTCTAATTGGCATGCAATAAATACAGTGAATACCACATACAGTATAATTAAAACCTGTTAGAGAAGATTACAACAGCATGTGTAAAGATATATTGATGAATACTTAATTCCCCACTTTTAATGTTTCCTTCTATTAAAATAGCATGCCTAGCCTATCTCCATGCCTTTAAAAATAAATGTCTTTTCACTCATTTGCTACTACTTCATTTCTTCCCACTACTTTAGATGTCAAAGGAACAATTTTGGATTGAATTTGAAATCCAGGGCAAATTTAGATAGATGATAGATAACAGATAGATGATAGATGATGATAGATAGACAGATAGATAGATAGATAGATAGATAGATGATAGATAGATATAGATAGATGATAGACAGAAGATAGACAGATGCATTCAATGTCAAACTGGTTCTTCCTCATTATCAAATTCTAGTGCTCTCATGAGTAATTTATGTCCTGGCTCTGTGTTACTGTGAACACTCTCTCTTAGACTACATGGCTACTACAAACTAGCTGCAATCATACCCTGAACATTTTATCATTCACATAAGATTAGGTGGAGACTAATAGGCTTGAGTTAGTAATAATTATGTGCACTGGGATATGCCATATTCATTACATACAAAATGTCATTCAACGTACTCTTATTTCACATATATTGAGTGGTATTGCTTACGCAAAACACTTTCCCCTTCCCCTTACTCTTCTCATCTCTCAAGGACTTCCTTCTCATTCTATGGCCTAATCAATGCAGTGAGAAGGAGAGGACATCACTCTTAAATTGAGATTCTTGATAATGAGGTTTTAATTATGGTTATTGTCATGAACTTAGCTAGTTAACCTCAGGGAAGTCATTTTATTTTTCTTAAAATAAGTTTCTTTATTTAAAAACTCTATAATCATATTTGGAAGTCTCAAGACCTTTTAAAACTTTCTATGTTTAGAGATTCTTTAAAGCAATTGTTTAGATTTTATATTTTATGATTCTTTTATTTATTTCTTCAAAGAATGATTATCTAATGATCTCTAAAAGACAGAAAATATAAATAAATAAATCATCCATATATTATACTTAATATCTCTTCTCTATTAAAATAGATTTAAACAGGTCATATTTTCATTGGATTAAGTTTTTATATACAGTGCTTTTGTAATTCAGTAATTCAAGTGAATGATAATAAAAATAATAAATCTAACATTTAAGCAGCTTTACTTTGTAAAGAAAGAAATCATTTTACAAATATTTAGGTAGTTCTCTCTTTTTAAATACACATTATGTAGATGATACAACCATGTTCATTTTAGAAAACAAAGGATTAGTTATTTATTTATTAGTTAGTTATTAAAGGCAGACTAGATTAATCACTTTTCTAATTTTTCTTGTATAATTGAGCATTAAGTACCATCTGTGCCATCTCGGCCAAACAACTTTGAGCTCAACTTGACCAGTCAATATGTGAATAGACAGTGCATTCTTCATGAATTCTTCCATACGGTTAGAGTAACGTTTTATAAACTGGATGAAGTCATGTCCTGAAGAGAACCTTAGGGTCTTAAAGATTTCTTTTTCAACATTGAATGTTCCTAATTATTTCCTATTGCATTTTGTGAAACACATACAAGTGATTAAAAGTCATATAAACTTAATTTTTTTCCTCCTGAAAGGAAAATACATACTAGCATTAACATTAGAAAGTGGTTGCACTCTTAAAATTAGAATTACTTTTGGGTCATAATGAGATCTAACTTTTCTATTTTTCAACTGTTCATTATTTTAATAACACATTTCAAGAGTGGATCCATGCACTTATGGAGACGTGTTACATTATTGAAAAGGCTGACATCATATGTGTGTCTAATAACGAATCTAGCAATTACTTCAATAAATCCAGTCTGCGGTGACTGATAATCCTCATTAAATATATAATATCAGTAAGACTAAATCTTGAGAGTCCTTTAAATAAGAAACCATTGGAGTAAAAAGGCTACTATGTGAACAATGTTAGGGAGAAAAACCTGGTTTAATTTCTGTATGTAGATTAGATAACCTGTATTTTTAATTATGGTAGGCAATGTCAATATTAATGACATTTTGGGCTTTTATTGTTTATCAGTAGAGTTCACATCTTTAGCTTTCCCACTCTGCTTTCTTGGTCTTTCAGATTTTCAGTTCAACAAATTTATCTTCCAGCATTTTTTTCTCTCTATATCATGAAAAACAAAATGTGGGCAAATATAGTTCATATGTCTGCTTCTTTCCTAATAGGAAAATGGGAATAGCTTTAAATTGCCTAATGCCCCTATAATTTGTAGGCACTAAGCATCAACTTTATTTTTTCAAAAGAAAATAAATTTTAGGTTAAAGAGTTTTAAAAGAACTTAGAAGAAAACACGGCATAAAATAGCTAATTACTAGAAATACCCAAAGAAAATTATAAAACAACATGAAAGTTTTAAGGTTGGAATTTACAGGTTGGGTTTTGACTAAAATGTGCGTTCTATAAATCCCAGAGAAGTACAATATTGGAAGGTAACCAAGAACTCTGATCCTCTAAACATTCAAAAGCACAATGACAATGATAACAAAAAACAAACCACATTTTAATCAGCAAAAAATCTAGATGGCTAGATAATACATACAGGCAAAAGGGTCTTCTGCAAAGGGCAGTTTGTTTTAACTCCCATAAACCCAACTATGACTCGGTGAAGCTGCAAAAGAGCTCACAGCAGTGATGGTCAAATATTTAACATGTAACATCTCTCAGTTAGCATTAAACAGGAGGTTATTAAACCAATAATTAAAAAGGGAAAAGCAATCATTCGAGCGTGGTGTTCAAAAGCAATTGACAGGACATGAAATTTTTATTAAGAGAGGCTTTCAGGGACTGATAATAGGTTAAAACAAGACAGAGGGAGGAAAGTCCCCTCTTTTTGTCCAAGCTGGGTCTTTAAAGTATTAGATCAGTTTTATCCATCAAAAAATCTGTCTTCAGTCAAGGGAATAATTCCCTGAAAAGAGTAACCCCCTGCTCTACATGAGTGTCCATTTGGGGTTTAAATTTCTAGGTCATAGAGTGAGAGTCAGGTACCCTTTCTGTTCCTTTTTATCTAATACTGCTTCCTGACTTCCAGGAAAGGACCAAAAACTATACTGTGGATGATCTATTCTCTTTCATCCGCAGATAATAAAATTGTTACTTCCATTAGCAAAATATTTTGGATCAAAAAGTTAGTAAACACAACATTTAATTTATTTCCCAGTAGAGCATTTTATTATAAATTTCATTTTGTTTATGTGATGGTATATGGTATACAGCATATATATTTTCAAGAACTATTCATTAAGATATTCCTCCTCCAAACACTTAAATGAAACTAAAAAAAGGAAAAAGATGTTTTACCCCTTCCGGATTATACTTTGCAAGCACACCATTACCATGGAATTCTTCAAGAACATCCTTTAATTTCTTTGTAGAATCTAAAAGAAATAGAAAACACAAAAATTGTTTATACATGCCTACTGTGGTTATGAAACCCAGCCCAGAAACAAAGACTGCTTAAAATATAACCACCAACAGATATTAAATTTTAAAGTGAACATATAAAAATGTTCTTTACCATTTTTGAAAGGCTATTTAATTGAAGAAGGAAATCACAAATAAAGGAAATAAAGAAAAAAGTATGTTTTGCCCAAGTGTATTACTCAAGAATGGCACCACTCTATGTATTACATGAATTGATGAGCAAAGAAGTGAATAGGTAGTGTGTTTTTCCCTTTATCTTGATAACATGACATGTAAATGAATAAAATTAGTTTAAAAAGGAAAACAGAGGTGTTTGTTAAACTTTATAATTTATACAGTGCATTTTTTATATATTACTACATTAACTAAATATTAACTGTGGTGAATAAACTAGTAAAATAAAATGTGTAGCTAAGCCTCAGTGGCGAATCCATTCAGAGCAAGCTATAGATTTCAGTTGTGTAGTTTTTTTCATTCTTTTTATTCCCACCTAAGGATATTTTTTCCTCTGCTTTTAGATAGAGTGGGAGAGAGAGAGAGAGAGACATTGATGTGAGAGAGGCACATCGACTGGTTGCGCACCAACCAGGTGCAGGAATGAACCTGCAACCCAGGCCTGTGCCCTTGATGAGAATCGAACCCCTTGACCTTTCAGTGCATGGGCTGACACTAACCAGTGAGGCACACGGGCCAGGGTAGATTTTAGTATTTTGCAGGTATTTTCAGAGATAATTTTCTAAATACACATCAAGCTTGACACTAAAGCTTATTTTATTTCAATTAAGAAACAAAGTTTAGATACCTTACCAAAAGGATTTTAAATAAATTTTTCCAATTTTTAAAATAAATTTTAGGATTTTAATCATATTTTAAAAATACGTCATTTTGTGGATATACCATTTTTTGTTTATCCATTTATCCACTGAGGTAAGTGAGTTGTTTCCATATTTTGGCTACTGTGAGTAGTGCTACTATGAACATTCAAGTATACATATTTCCATGCAAATATATGTTTCAATTCTCTTGGGAATATACCTAAGAGGAGAATTGTTGTGTCATATGGTAACTCAATGTTTAACGTGTTAAGGAATTGCCAAACAATTTTCACAGGACTAGACTATTTTACATTCCTACTGGCAACGTATGAGGATTTCAGTTTCTCAACATTTTTGTGGACAAATGATTTTCTACTTATTTTTATTATAGCCATTGTAGTGGATAGGAATGATTTTGATTTGCATTTGATTAGTCACTTGCTAATAACAAATGGTGTCCAACATCCTTTTGTGTGTTTATTGGCAATTTGTATATCTTCTTTGGAGAAATGTCTGTGCTAGTCTTTAGGCCACTTTTTAATTAGACTGGTTTTCTTTTTGTTATGGAGATCTCCTGGTTTGTGTGTGTGTGCATGTGAGTGTGCACGTGCATGCTGTAACATGTGTGAAGTCTGTACAGCTTCCGATGTATTGCTTTTTCCATGCATATTTTGGCAGCACTTTCAATACTGTACTGTGATTATAGTTAATATGTTATGCCATGTTCCTGTTAGATTATAGGTTGTCCTAAGGAAGAATACATACATTTTAATTTTTAGACTGCATTCAAACTTATTACAAAGCTGAAACAATAGAATTGTAATAAATATTGAGACTGAATTGACCAGAGCTATTCCTACACTACAACAAAATATAGTACTAGCTTCAACATATACCTTAGCAGAAACTTATACTACTTCTGAAACCAGGTTGAATATTAAAAAGAGACATGAAGCTGATTCCTTATTCCCAAATTCTTCTTTGTGGACAATAAGGCACTACACTACATTAGTTTATGGATGCAACTGCAGACCATTCTATACATTCCTACAGAGATATATACACACACAGATACATAAATTCTGGGATAACATATCCCAGTAAACAATGCTTACTTTAACCATATCTTAGCCCCATGATAAAAGGGGAAAACAAATTTTTGGTTTCTTATACATAGGCTTTCCACAAAACTGCGTGAAGATGGCCTTTTCATTTCAGATTTCTATAGGAGCAAAAAACACATTCAGTACTCACTTATAAATGCCTAGAGAAGACAACAACCCTTAAAATTATTCATGTAATTTTTAGTGGTTTACTGATCATTTATATTGGGATCTTCTTAGTGGGATGACTACTTGCAATAAATTAATAAAGAGCCAAAATCTGTGACTGCTCTTCCCATGAACTGAGGCTCAAGACTGATCTTGGTCTGAGACAATTTTAATTCATATTCAGATGAATCGCCGTCAACTCAACTTGCTCCTTTCTCCAATCTCAAGTTCCATTTTTAATATATTGACATCTGAAGTTTACCTACCTCGCAATATAGTTTAGAAATGGGAACGTTACCTTGTCCTTCTATTTCTGTTCCAATAATCTTTCTGGGGCCTAATCTCCCTAAGACTGAGGTCCTGACTTGCCCAGCCAACATTCTATAGATGGGGGATGGGTATAGCGCACCATGGGTCCCACATATCCAGCCAGGGCCCCATAACCATTAAGTGGAACCCCGTACAAGAACTGTCTACTTATCTGCTAAGATTTCCAAATTCCACTAGACTATAAAAATCTTTCTGCTATGTCCCGCTTACCTTCATAGGAGAATATACATTTACTTACTTTGTAACTCAGCAGCTTTTCTTGATTTTTGCTATTACCTATCACCATAAGCAATCCTACCTTTTTTATTATGTCGATTCTAAATCACATTTGTTAACAATAACGGGGCAGTGGAGAGGAAAAAGGAGGCAGGACTAGATCTGACCTACCCTCTGGTACAAGACATATACCAAGGAAATGATGCCTGGATGCATAGATAGTAGGTGACTGAAGGACACGGTCTCAGTCATATTTTCGCTAATATTGGAGCTTCAAGTACAAGAGCACCGTGACAGATTCTGGGCTGAGCTAGGCTGAGAAATCCGGGCAAGCAGCCAGCCAGCCAGGCAGCTGGAAGCTGGGAGATCAATTAACAGTTAATACATATCTGCAATGGAACAAAGGTCTGGCATCCAAGAAGACTGACAAGTGAAGTGCTGGGCACCCAGGTTCAAGCAGCTAGTTTAATTCTTGGGATAAAAGATCAGTACAGACGCTCAGCACAAAATATTGGATCTCCCGGAAAGCAAAGGAGGGCCCAGGCTTGAGGCAATTCTGAAACACGGGGCTAATTCCAGGGGCACTGGGGTTTGGCTTGGCTAATAGGACGGAAGACCTGGAGGAGGTACTGATATCAGTTGCTGCCCTTAGACTAGTACACGAGTCTTAGCAGGGAGTAGTTTAATATTGCCAACCACAAACACAAAGGAGAGAATGAGGTCATTCTAGACGGTTCTTCCATCTTACCATCTAAGAACTAAGGTGGTACGGAGCATAAAAATGGGAGTAATTTTATTCAGGAAACATCTCTTTATATGCTGGGGCAGATTAGATGTACATGGGGACGGACGCAGAGAGGAGCTTTTCTTATGGCTTGTCCTCCTAGCACCTGCTCCAGTGCGTGAGTTGCTCCCCTGTGAACCCTCTCTTGTTTGGCTGACTCGCGTAAGGTACAATGCCAGGAGAGTGAAACTGGCACATTTTAGGAATGCACAATTAGAAACGCTCTGATTTTTTTTTTTTACATGATTTTCAAAGAAAATTTAATCCTTTTTGCATAATTCTATAATAAAAATAAACCAATAAGTGCATTTGGCAATGTTCGGAAAAACAGAAGAATGAAATTAATGGATCCTAAAAAAATGCTACATGAAAAATGAAACACTTTCCGTTTACCTCATGTCCTTTTAGGTGTCTGCTGCATCTTGAATGAGCTTCCTTTGTGATTTGACTGCCTCTCTGCATGAGCTTGTCAGATTAATCACAAAGGCCCCATGGAGTAATGGAAAGATTTAAAGCCAGATAGATTTGGATTTGAGTCCTGGCTCCAGGATTTTTGGCTGAATATCCTTGGGCATATTTTTAACCTCTTTGTGGCCCAGTTTTTCAATACTTAAAATTGGAATAATGACATGAAGCGTGCCAATGTGTCTGTCTTGCAAAGTGTCTGGTGCCCAACAAATTCCTGTTCATTTGTTCCACCTTCCACAAGACTTCAAACATGATCATCATGCAACAGTTTCCTGTTGGCTTTGGATTAAAGCACAAACCCCTCCTGCTGGCACCACAGGTGTGTCAGACTATGATCCTAACCTGCCTACCAATAATTATTTTATATGCCTTCCTTATTTGTAATTCAATGTCTAGTCATCCAGTTCCCAAGGTACCCCATGATTTTAGAGCTCTTTCTTTCCTCATGTTCTTTTTGCCCAGGATTCTCTTCAATGTCAAATGAAGTTCAAGCATAATGGATGACGCACTTTACCTGCCAACTTGTTGACAAAATCTGAGGACTTCCTTCAACCACAGTAGACAGCAACTTACCCTCCACTGAACTCCACATAATAACTTTCTTAGAATCCACACCTGATTTATGCATTAAGTACTATTAACGCTATTAAACTTTGGATGTGTAGTGTATTCGAGTTTGTAAAGTGTTTTCTCAAGTATTTCAGTGAAAACTCACAATCACCTTGTGACTTTATCAAACTTCATCTCCAGTTAACACATGAAAAAAATCAAGGTTAAAGAAATCATTACTATTCAAAAATCACACAGCCAAAAGAGGTTGAACTAGTATAGTGACCCAAATTTGCATTTGGCCTAAATCTGTTTTATTTATTTGGCAAAAGAACCAATAGAAGTTTCTAGTACAGCCAAAGCATCTACTTTGGAGACCATGACTTTTGTTAATTTAGTTCAAGGAACTTTATTACCTATTTTTCTAGTACATAGAAATATTCTATTCATTTTTATGAACTTACATTAACAGATGAAGAATATATTTTCAAAAATCACATGGATGTTTTTGAAATTAAAGT